CTGAAGTTCTGGGTTTCTGGGTTCATAGTGCGCACACTTATTGTTTTTCAGTCGTTAATTCTGAATAGTGTTGGAAATCAATTGACAAGTCCCTTCAGTTTTTAATTTGACGCTGTGTCTAGTAGATGCAGCAGTGAGGAGAGGTGTTGATATCCTTTGCGTCCAAGAAACCAAATGGAGAGGACAGAAGGCGAAGGAGGTGGAGGATACCGGCTTCAAGCTGTGGTACACGGGGACGGCTGCAAACAGAAATGGCGTAGGCATCTTGATCAACAAGGGCCTCAAGTATGGAGTGGTAGACGTCAGGAGACGTGGGGACCGGATTATCCTGGTCAAGCTGGTAGCTGAGGACTTGGTTCTCAATGTTATCAGCGCATATGCCCCGCAAGTAGGCCACAATGAGAACACCAAGAGGGAGTTCTGGGAAGGCTTGGAAGACATGGTTAGGAGTGTACCGATTGGTGAGAAGCTCTTCATAGGAGGAGACCTCAATGGCCACGTGGGTACATCTAACACAGGTTTTGAAGGGGCGCATGGGGGCTTTGGCTATGGCATCAGGAATCAAGAAGGAGAAGATGTCTTAAGCTTTGCTCTAGCCTACAACATGATTGTAGCTAACACCCTCTTTAGAAAGAGAGAATCACATCTGGTGACTTTTAGTAGTGGCCAACACTCTAGCCAGATTGATTTCATCCTCTCGAGAAGAGAAGATAGGCGTGCGTGCCTAGACTGTAAGGTGATACCTGGGGAGAGTGTTGTACCCCAGCATAAGCTGGTGGTTGCTGACTTCCGCTTTCGGATTCGTGTCCAGCGGGATAAGCGTGCCAAGGTCGCTAGAACGAAGTGGTGGAAGCTCAAGGGGGAGGTAGCTCAGGTGTTCAAGGAAAGGGTATTTAAGGAGGGCCCTTGGGAGGAAGGAGGGGATGCGGACAATGTGTGGATGAAGATGGCGACTTGCATTCGTAAGGTGGCCTCGAAGGAGTTTGGAGTGTCCAGGGGAAGGAGAAGCGAAGATAAGGATACCTGGTGGTGGAATGATGATGTCCAGAAGGCGCTTAAAGAGAAGAAAGATTGCTTTAGACGCCTATACCTGGATAGGAGTGCATACAACATAGAGAAGTACAAGATGGCGAAGAAGGCCGCAAAGCGAGCTGTTGGTGAAGCAAGGGGTCGGGCATATGAGGACCTCTACCAACGGTTAGGCACGAAGGAAGGTGAAAGGGACATCTATAAGATGGCTAAGATCCGGGAGAGGAAGACGAGGGATATTGGCCAAGTCAAATGCATCAAGGACGGAGCAGGCCAACTCTTGGTGAAGGACGAAGAGATTAAGCATAGATGGCGGGAGTACTTCGACAAGCTGTTCAATGGGGAGAATGAGAGTTCTACCATTGAACTGAATGACTCCTTTGATGAGACCAGCATGCGTTTTGTGCGGCGCATCCAGGAGTCTGAGGTGAAGGAGGCTTTAAAAAGGATGAAAGGAGGCAAGGCGATGGGCCCTGATTGTATCCCCATTGAGGTGTGGAAAGGTCTCGGGGACATAGCGATAGTATGGCTAACCAAGCTTTTCAACCTCATTTTTCGGGCAAACAAGATGCCAGAAGAATGGAGACGGAGTATATTAGTACCAATCTTCAAGAACAAGGGGGATGTTCAGAGTTGTACTAATTACCGTGGAATTAAGCTGATGAGCCATACAATGAAGCTATGGGAGAGAGTCATTGAGCACCGCTTAAGAAGAATGACAAGCGTGACCAAAAATCAGTTTGGTTTCATGCCTGGGAGGTCGACCATGGAAGCCATTTTCTTGGTACGACAACTTATGGAGAGATATAGGGAGCATAAGAAGGACTTGCATATGGTGTTCATTGACTTGGAGAAGGCCTATTATAAGATACCGTGGAATGTCATGTGGTGGGCCTTGGAGAAACACAAAGTCCCAGCAAAGTACATTACCCTCATCAAGGACATGTACAATAATGTTGTGACAAGTGTTCGAACAAGTGATGTCGACACCGATGACTTCCCGATTAAGATAGGACTGCATCAGGGGTCAGCTTTGAGCCCTTATCTTTTTGCATTGGTGATGGATGAGGTCACAAGGGGTATACAAGGAGATATCCCATGGTGTATGCTCTTTGCGGATGATGTGGTGCTAGTTGACGATAGTCGGACGGGGGTAAATAGGAAGTTAGAGTTATGGAGACAAACCTTGGAATCGAAAGGGTTTAGGCTTAGTAGAACTAAAACCGAGTACATGATGTGCGGTTTCAGTACTACTGGCTGTGAGGAGGAGGAGGTTAGCCTTGATGGCCAGGTGGTACCTCGGAAGGACACCTTTCGGTATTTGGGGTCAATGTTGCAGGAGGATGGGGGTATTGATGAAGATGTGAACCATCGAATCAAAGCCGGATGGATGAAGTGGCGCCAAGCTTCTGGCATTCTCTGTGACAAGAGAGTGCCACAAAAGCTAAAAGGCAAGTTCTACAGGACGGCGGTTCGACCCGCAATGTTGTATGGCGCGGAGTGTTGGCCGACTAAAAGGCGACATGTTCAACAGTTAGGTGTGGCGGAGATGCGTATGTTGAGATGGATGTGTGGCCACACGAGGAAGGATCGAGTCCGGAATGATGATATACGAGATAGAGTTGGGGTAGCACCAATTGAGGAGAAGCTTATCCAACATCGTTTGAGATGGTTTGGGCATATTCAGCGCAGGCCTCTAGAAGCTCCAGTGCATAGCGGACGGCTAAAGCGTGCGGAGAATGTCAAGAGAGGGCGGGGTCGACCGATTTTGACATGGGAGGAGTCCGTTAAGAGAGACCTGAAGGATTGGAGTATCGACAAAGAGCTAGCTATGGACAGGGGTGCGTGGAAGCTTGCTATCCATGTGCCAGAGCCATGAGTTGGTTGCGAGATCTTATGGGTTTCACCTCTAGCCTACCCCAACTTGTTTGGGACTAAAGGCTTTGTTGTTGTTGTTGTTGTTGTTGCTGTGTCTAGTAGATGCGTTCATTTTTCATGAGGAAATTAAACATAAAGCATATTGTCATCTTCCTGAAACTGATGCAGGAGAATGGTTTACCGATTGAAAAGATTTCTGGAAGAATGGTAGTAGTTCAACTTCAATGCTGACTTGCTTCACCTATATTCAGGAACATGGCAGCAAATGTAGTTTCAACTGAGGATCTCATTCTATGACATTCAGTCAATAGTCATGTGATAACAATGACCCTTGCGGTTGAAATGGTCGCATGGAACGACACACTAGGTCACTGGCTATGGCTGTTCATGAAATCAGCCTGCAAGTATTGCTGGTGGTTGCATTATCACTTCCGGATGCATTGGCAGTTTCTGCCCCAAGTGACCAGGTGCTGCAACTTATTCACTTACGTTTTTCAAATATAATTCGTGAACACTTTCAAATGCAAAACAATCATGGTTGCTTCGGACTTCACTATGTTTTATCTTTCTGGATGAGAACTATAACATGATCTTGTGCTGTTTGTAGTTTTGAACCAATCAATGGAAGACTTAAGTCATGCTAGTCCATTCAGTTTATTGTATGGACTTACTTGATTCAGAGCGCTGATTGCAAGTTACCGATGCTTACCGATGCTAAACCTGACTACGACGCACACAATGTACTAAAGGTAGTAAATTTCACTAATTATCTTGAGGCTACTCTACATCGGTAGAAAGTAATATCTGCACGTTTCAAGCCAATTTCGCATGAACTTTGTTTCCAAGACATGTGTATTTGTTCTTGTAGCTTTAGAACATCTTCTGTTACATTTGTTATAGCATGGTCAACAGTAATATCTTTACCTATTTGTGTGTTCTTCTTGAAGTTTGTCGGTGCCAGCCAGCCAAGCAATGCCCTTGCTTCGGACTCTGTTTCGGTGTCTCGGACTTTTCATACTTTGCTTTTTGCACGGGTTTATTAGTTTTTTTTATGGGAACAGTATGAAAAAAAACTCTACTAGTGAGTATATATTATACAATAATAGGAACAAAATTACACTTCACAAAAGTCCAAAGGATTCAAAATCCAAAACAGACGAACTATTTTAAGAGCAATAATGCATCCAGAAAATTGTAGAAGTAATTTTCTGTAGTTATGGTAACACTGAAATTTCAAGACAAACACTTCCTAAAATCATCTACAGAACCCTGAAGGTAGCACTCTTGTCTCATCTTCTTTTCCTATTGAATACACTAGTGAGAAAGGTGCTATTGTCTTCAGCAAATACCTGCATAATCAGCAGGTCCATATGGCTGGAACCATTCAGCCAGGAATCCTTTCTTCCTTCTAGGGTTGCATCCGATGTCTTGGCACAACAGATCATTAAACCAAATATTCACGGTGCTTATGCAAGATCTGCGGAAATACTTTCCATTGTAAAGATCCTTGTACTTTGCCCACTCTGTTACATTCTCTTCCATGCATCTTACGCTTGGCAACTGGAAGCCGCCAGCTAGGAAATGGATTACCCAATTGGCCATCCTCTCCGAGGCATATATGTTTGTAAGGCTCTCGGAGTATCCGACTATTGCCAACTGAGGAATCCGAGGATGGATGCATTCTCTGTTAATTTCAAGCATTTTAATAAATGAGGTCACTATACTCAACATAAGTAAACATTTTAAATTTACTTCGACCTACATTAATATTTTGATTTTATCAAGATTATCATTCTTTTCAAACGAAAACATATGATGCCTACTATGCTGATAATGGTGTTATATAATTGATAGAGAAGTACTTAACAGCTTCTAAAGTGAGTGCATGCTGTTGTTATATACTCCCTCTATCCTAAATCAAAGACACTTATTTGGGATGGAGGGAGTATTAGTTTGCTAAGATATTGCAGTACTGCAGAATGTATATGTTCTTGTATTGAATAATTTCCACTAGTGTAGGCTCCATTTAGGGAACTCTCTGTGCGATTTCTTATGTCCTCACTGCACTATTAGTTCACTTTCCCTTATTTTTGTTAAGTAGTGGTGCAGTTCCGAAGGGGAAAAAAATGTATTCTGTAGCACAGTATATATTGTCCTCCAAATATGCCAACCAAAAAAAAGTTGTCCAACCTGTACCTATATAAAGGAACTGATGTATCTGATGATCCAACCACTATATTTCTACACCAGTTTGCTGTGAAGATGTCCCTAAGCTTCTGGTCTCCTCTGAATCCTGTTGCTAGAATTACAATATCACTGTTTATGCATTCATTTCCATCGTCCATGATAATCCCATTACTGCAGAAGCTGAACTTCTTGGATTTCTTAAGAATAATGCTGCCCTCATCAACCCTGTCATAAAACCCTTCTGGGAGTAATGCAATCAAGCAAGAAGACATGGCGAAGGAGTAGCTGTAGTCAGGTACCATCCCATGCTTTTCTAGAGGAATCCTTTGCTTGAAGTAGGTTTCAATTACTTTTGTAATTGCCCATCTCTGAAATAACAGGAGTTTTGTGGATTCATGAGCTTTCTATGCACGAATTGCTTATATGAAATAAATTGACCATTGACTACTTTCAAAACTCTATTTAAGTTGGAAGTAGTTATTTACCAAGGGAGAGAGTGCACTAGCCAATAAATAGTGCAGAAATCCTTCACCAGGTTTATGAACAAGTACTTGCGAGATGCGGTTAAGATAGAAGTAACTAAGGTTAATTCCCCATATGCTGGATTTATCAACCAGCCAGTGCCTCGTTCTATATATCATGGTGCATGGCTGATCAGCACCTGCATTGGAATAATTGTGTCAGGCATATATTCCTTTGAACAACTATTGCTAGTTAGTGAGGTCTTAGTTCTCTTGGGACTCACCATTCACCTTAGCAACCTCCGCAGCGATGTCAAATGCTGATTTTCCGGACCCAATTATTGTCACACTCTTCCCCTTAACAAATTCAGCCACATTATCCATGTAAGAGTAGTCTATAGAGTGCAATATTTTCCCCTTGAACAACTCGGGCCCTTTATTAGCTGGAAATTCCGGGATATTTGGGGTCCCACTATGCCTTCCGATGCACAGTATGAGAAAATCCACTTGAAAAACCTGTGACAGGAGATTGCTTATACATAGTTGTGCTATAGCCTACAGAGTGATTCCGTGTATATAAGGTAAAAATGCATTACATTATTCAAGCAGATTTATCTTATTTGAGATTTTTCTGGTCAGGTGATGTATTTATGGATTTTATGAATGAACAATATTTTTATACCACTCTAAAGAGAGTATTTCTCGTTTGGTTGTGTGATTCTTCTCTCTTATTATGCACTTACATGAAGTCGATGCATAGGACTTATCTGTGCCAACTGCCTAGCTATCTACTGCAATTCTACATTTCTATACATCATATTGAAATCAAAATAGAATCAGAATACCCCATTTAGACGCAACCTGCAACCTGAGCTCTATGTGCGCATTAGCAAGCATGTAGATATCTGAACTCAGAGGCAGAGCAAGACAGGTATAATGAGGGTCCCAAGGGATTGCACGTACCTCAACATGACCAATTTTCAGGTCCTTCACTGTGATGCTCCACCTTCCATCCTTGCCAGCTCCGAATGCCGTCCCATTGCCAGACCAATGCTCCCACTCCATGATCTCTTCCTCAGTTGCACCAAGGTATTCAACTCCCAACACCTGACTACTGAACTTGATACACTTGAGGAGGTCAAACTCGCACACGTACGACCTGATGTACTCCATGACTTCCTGGTGGCCTGGGTACGTCGCTGTCACGCTTGCAGGCCATGCCAGGTCTGAGAAACGGAACGAAGTCGTAGGCGCCTGAAGCCTCGTCGACTCCAAGGTATGCGCCCATACTCCACCAATGGTGTCATCGGCCTCGAATACCACCGGGCTGAACCCCTTGTCTAGCGCGTGCTTGCAGGCTGCTAGGCCGCTCACACCAGCACCAACAATGCCCACCCTCTTCCTGTCCATTTTTACTGCTTTTCTTCAGAGTTCTGGCTAGGAAGGAGTTGAGGATGGAGAGGAAAGGGTGTCTATTATATAAATCTTGGGTTTGATTCTCTGGATGGGTTAGATCTTTTTAAAATCTCAGGATCTTTTGGGTGGCTGGATGAGGCCGAACGAACCACCACTTGCTTGGTATCTTTCGTTGTCTTCTTGGTTTATTCCTGTCACCCTCTGACCACATGTCCTGTTTTATTTTCTTCAGTTATCTTTTTGTCTTCAGCGACATGCTGGGAGTATGGGATACGTGTGCAAGTAGCTGATGTATGAGTTTTTTAGATGTTTGCTAATTTATAGACCCCTTTCAAATTTAAATCGACATCAACTGGCATGTAGAGTTAACTTTGGAAAACAACTTCATGTTGCACGTTCAGATGATATTGCATACCTTATAGTCAGATGGCATCAGGATTGCTCCAGTAAGCCTGAAGAGAGTCACTTACAGGTTACAGCCATATGAGCACCTGATTTATTGACTCAGTGGCATGCTGCCACATAAAACTGCCAACACAGCTTCTAGCTGCCCATTTTTGATGGTTCAATACGTATTGTTTGTGATTTTGATGACACTTCCATGGCAGGTGGGTTTGGTTTCAGAGGCGATTATCATCTAGCTGGACAGCTAATATTCTTAGTAATCATTTGGACCCATTTTTTATATATGATTATCATATCCGGTGGTATTCGATGGAATCCCTTGAAAGAGACAATTTATATGTCATAGTAGAGTTCTTAGAGATCTAGGTTCATAGTGCAAACCGTTGTTGTTTCCCAATTGTTGATTCTGTTTAGTGTTGGCCTGTTGGGAATCAGTTGATAAGTCCGCTCAATTATTATTTTGAAGCATATGGGGAGTTCGTGAGGAAATTAACATGAAGCATATTGTCATCTTCTGAAACTGGTGCTGACAACGGTTTACCCGTTGGAAGGAGTCCTCAGAGGACGGTAACAAGTATGAGTTCACAGCTATCTTGTAGCACTTATATTTAGGAACAGAGCACCAGATCTTGTTTCAGTTGAAGAGCTTATTATTTTTGGAAGTTGTACATTTCTTGAATGGTATTTTCCTCTTTTATTCAAGAGCAACAATCGGCGTGACAGATCTCAGATGTCATGAACTGATTAAATTTCTGATATTACACAACCTTCTGTGTCGAGATTACAACACCCGCATCGCCTTTTTGCCGAGGCCACTTCTTCAGATCAATATACTTGTAATCTGATGGAAGATATGGCATCAGCCAATGCAAAGAACCCTTTCTTTCTTCTGGGTATCTTTTGTTGTTTTCTTGGTTTATTCCTGTCACCATCTGACCACATGTCCTGTTTTGTTTTCTGTCAATTATTATTCTTGTCTTCAGTGGCCCACTGGGATGAGTTGTAAAATGCTTGCTAAGCTATAGGTCTCTTTCAAATTTAAATCGACACCAACGTGCCATGCAGAGTTAGCTTTGGAAAACTATACCGTGTTGCACGTTGAGGTGATGATGCATACTTTACAGCCTACCAAATAGGTGGCATCAGGATTGTGCCTGTGAACCTAAAGCAAGTCACTTACAGGCATAAGTACGAGCAGCTAATATTTGGACGCAATGGCATGCTGCAATATAACAAAATTACTTTCAAATATGTATCCTTTGCAAAAATATATTGAGTAAAGAAGCTATTAGTTGCCAAAATTACTTTTGTTGTCCACTTGAAATGGTTCAGTATGTATCCATTGCAAAACAAGGCATTTTGATAACACTCCTATGACAAGTGGGTTCCATCTATTTTAGAAATGGGCATCATCTAGCTGGACCGCTAATATTTGTTGTTTTACAGGGTAGCAATTTTGTTTTGGATCCAATACTATTTTCTATAGATGATTATCATATGAGGTGGTGGTGGACTGGTGGTCACCCGTTGGCCCAAAGGGACAATTTTTTGGTCGCAGTTAGAATAGCTAAAGATCTGGGTTCATACTGGGGACACATGTTCTTATAGTTTTTATTTTGAATAGTCTTGGAAATTAATTGACAAGTCTGGTTGATATGCTCATTGCTCATGAGAAAATTAACACAAATCATATTGTCATGTTCCTGAAACTGATAGGGAGAATGGTTCCTCGAAGGGCGGTAGTAGTTCAAGTTCACTGCTGACTTTCTGCACCTATATTCAGGAGCAGGGCAACAAATGTAGTCAACTGGAGAGCTTATTCTACAACATTCAGTTTGTAGAATAGTGATCATAGCATCTCTAGAATGATATATTTCTGTTTCATTTAAGGACAGCGATGTCGTGACAGCATGTCACTTCTTCAGGTTGATATCACTTCTTCAGATCGATATCCTTGTAATCTGATGGAAGATATGGCATCAGCCAATCTGCAAAGAACCCTTTCTTCCTCCTGGGTTCACACCCCATGTCCTGGCACAACTGGTCATTGTACCAGATGTGGAGAGCTCCAACGCAAGATCGACGGAAGTATTCACGAGAGTACCTCTTCATGTATTCATCCCATTCCATTATATCCAGCTCCATAGACTTTATGCTAGGCAACTGAAATGCTCCATCAAGGAAATGTGCCAACCATTTGGAGTGCATGTTGCTATGCTCTCAGAGTAGCCGATGATCGCCAATTGCGGGATCCTAGGATGCACGCATTGCCTGCCCAGTTCACAAAATTCACTGTGAGCTTCTGTATATGTACAGACGGCCAAACAAACATGTTTAAGAGAAAGACAGATTAAACCTGTAGAGAGGAATACTACTGGATGGCGGGCCAGTCACAATGTCTCTGAACATGTATGATGTGAACATCCCCTTGAGCTTTTGGTCTCCCTTGTATCCGGTGACGAATATGACCACATCGCTCTTTATATATCGGCGTGGATTCTCCTTCAACAATCACACCTTGTTTACAGAACCTGAAGCTCTTTGCTTTCTTGAGAACAATGCTTCCTTGATCAACCATGTCAGAATTTGTCTGGCAATATGGCAACCAAGCATGAGCTGATGACCTGGAAGAAACTGTGGTCTGGCACCATGCCGTGCCTATCCATAGGCACCACCCATCTGTAGTAGCTCTCAACAAACTTCGAAAGGAACCATCTCTGATCATTGTATATATTCATGTTAAATACATGCATGAGCACAAATTGATGATCTGTAGTTACTTAAAAGAGTGGTGTGGTATAAGTAGAAACTCTGGCTGGTGGCCATTACCAAGGTGATAAGAAGGTAGCAAGAATGAGCCCCTCTCTTGGCTTGTGTACTAGGAGCTCCGAGAAGCGGTTGAGGTAGAAGAACACAATGGGAATGCCCCAGGCGTAGCAGTCAGGTATTATCCATCTCTTCGTCCGACAAATTATTGTGCATGGATACTTGGCTCCTGATTGCAACAACAGTGAACAATTAAATTAGGACATTTTCTCTGAACTCTTCTTTCTTTTGATCACTCTGCAGTGGAGAGTTGCAGGAAAGCTAGAGATCTCACCATTTGTGTTTGCGCACTCTGCAGCAATGTCAATAGCGGACTTCTGGTAACTGACAACAGTAACGAGCTCGCCCCTGATAAGCTCGGTGGACTTTGCAGCGCCCATGTCGGAGTAGTCTATGGAGTGAATCGCCCTGCCGTCAAAAGTTCTCCAGCCCTTTGTTCGGCGGGAATGTGCGAATGTTGGGGACGCCGCTGAATCTCCCAGTGCACAGGATCACAATGTCTGCGACGTATGTCTGGAAATGTATAGTTGCTAGTTGAATATCTGAGGCAAGAATCAGCTATTATGCAGACCTGTTTGTTCGCTGTTAACTTTGTCACTTTGTCAGCTCCTAACTACAATTTTGTTTACTGCTAGTGCCATGTACATGCCAAGTGGGGATGATGCCGTACTGGATAAGGTGAGCCACACAAATTTTGGTCTAACATTCGTACAGTTTCAGGCTGTAAGTGGGACGCTAAGCAGGATGCCCGTGTCCGCCCCACAACTGCCACATATGTTAAGTGGGATACATGCCAAAGCCCGCATATTGTTAACTGGGATATGTGGATACCCACTAAACTGCTGTTGGCCACAGTTTGTTGATTGCTCACTGTACATTATAACGTATTGCTTCTGGCCGAGGACCATTCATTGCTCATTACAAAATACTGTTTCTGTATCATAGTTCTTATTGAGGATATCACGACTAACTTAAAAAATCAATCTAAGGTTGCCCCATCTAAAAATAATTCCTTCGCAATGACATGAAGTACAAAAAAATTTCATATACACCCGGAGTACAGTCCCTGCTGGACTCCTATTTCTTTCATATTTACGAATGATCACATTTCCATATAGAGGTGAAGGAATCAACAGTCCATTGTCGCCATTGTGAGCTGCAATCTTCAGGTTAGTGGCACCATTGATGCACAGATCTATGAATGAACTACAAGAAGAAGCATGGCACTTTTAGAATGCCCCAACATGAAGAAGGCACATAAAAACAGTATCTGCAGTCACCATAGTATAGAATTCATTTATTTGATAAATTAAATCATCGAGCCCTGACATGAGCTAAAAGCAACAAATTAAGATGCAGGTCAGCAACTGGGGACAGTAGCAATCACTATGATATGGAGAATGCAGCACACACCCATCATCTGAACCGCCACCAATCATCAAAATTGCAAACTATATTCAATTGCTCCCTACCAAAGCACAAGCTGCACAGATATATTTATCAGATATAACTATCATTCACTGAGCAACACATCAGAAAAAAGATGGTCACTCAACTTGTTACCTTATTATTTTACATTACATAAAAACGTACTGTAGTTCAGTTCTTACCAGTGAGTCAGATTCGATATAAACAAGATTGTTTAGGAACTATGCTAGCTACTACTGAAAGAGAACAAGATTCTAGCTTTTGTTTTGAGGGAACGGTAAGTTTGAGCTAATCCGGTGGGTGTCCACCAAGGCATGAACACGATTTTTGTGGGCTTTTATGTGGGCCCACATCCACGTACAGCCTGATTCATACATAGTTACATACGGTCCCGTCCGTGGGCGCTACGATTCGGTGATCCGTTGCTTCCTCGGATACAAATATGAAAATCGCAAGAGCCAATCACAGCCAACAATCAGGCAGTAAACGTATCATCACGTACTACGTACGTCCTGTACGCTGCAGCTAGGGCTTTATCTGACTGTATGTATGTGTGTATGCAGCTCTCCAAGTCCGATTCAATCACCTGGCACGAAGACTATATTATTCCACGGCCACAAGAGAGGTACCGTTCGATCCAAGATGGCATCGTCGTCAAGAAGCAATTACGGCGTGAAGACGGCGGAGGAAGAGGAGGCGGACGTCGTGTGCGCGCGCTGGATCTTCCTCTATGTGGCGGTGCTCCACCTTGGCCTCTTCGCCATCACCGCCATGATCTCCTACACGCACGTGTTTCCCCGCGCCAAGAAGTTTGACAAGATCTTCTTTGGGGCCATGGGAGCGGTTTCCCTGTCCGTCGCCGTCGGCATCATCTGCCTGCTTCTAGGGGGGACTTCCCCTTCCGCAACAAGCGTGCCACCGCCCGAGTCGCCGACCTGCCGCTCGCCGATGTGTGCTAGCCGTCTTTGGTTGGTTGTTTCTAGTGCACGAATTGATTTGTGTGAGCTAGCCATCAGTAATAATACAGTAGGTGACTGCTCTTCTTTGCTCGGTATGCTGTTTTCAAGATACGCAGTTACCGGTGGTATCCTTGCATTGCCTGCAGTTGCTATCTTTGTTTTTTATGTTAGAAAACGATTTGGCTAAATCTCAATTGCTATCACTTGTTGCTTACGCGATGCTGGAATCCTTGCAATGGTCGCTGGTTAAAGGGCTTCAAACCTCTGTCACTGTAAATATGTTCATCCAGTTGCTCAACCCGTGAGAGTTAGTTTGCCCAGTACAACTCTCTTGGATCAAGCTGACAATTGGAGATGGTCGCACAGCTCCTCTGGACACTGCTCTTCTACAAAGCTTCTATTCTATTGAGGGATGGCCGTTATGCGCTTCGGCCAATGCCACTTGGAAGAGCTGGGCACCCCTCCATCGTTCAAAGACACGATGACTAGCCATGAATATCGACCAAAAATCTCGGGGGTTTACCTGGTGAGGAAATTTCCAATACCCTTTCCTCAGATGAGATTGACGAGGCCCCTGAGAAGCAGGCGTCGCAGCTCAAAACCTATATGACAAAATTCTCGGCATGCAAGAACATCCACAAGGACGCGGGTCTACCTCTAATGCTAAGAAAAGAGTCTGGCTTGTGTAGCTCCGTCTGGTGCAAACCACCTTTTGGGGAGGCTCAATCCTACAATTTCAGGAGGGAAGAAAAAATGGTCGCTAGGAATATGGTCGCAGTGGTACTAGGCTCACCATGCCCGAGACCCTACTCCGGCAGGATGACCATCCAATTCCATGGGACGGGCTACCCGGAGAACCCTCCTCATCTAGGACAATATCCACTAGTAGTGGCACCCATGATATCAAAGGACATGGTACATCGAGTTTTGGTAGACAGAGGGAGCTCTTTAGTTTAATCCTAATGCAGACTTTGGAGCAAATGCAAATACTATGAAGGATCCACCTCGACGGAGTTGTTTTACGGGCTTCTCCCACAGACAAGGAGAACCACAATCCTCTGAGAAGGATCACCCTCCCGGTGATCTTCGGAGAGAAAGGAACTCCCGGTGATCATTTGAGGTGATAGACATTGACATGTTTTTTTTCCGAAGAAGAGGATAACCCCCGGTCTCTGCATTGAGCGATGCACACAACCACATATATATATAGAATTGTAAGAATTCTAAAGAAATAGGAGTTGGTTGAAGTTATCTCCTATGCCATCCCATCCGCTACTAGTATGCGTCCATTCTCGATCCAACATCTCAGAAGCAAAGATTTCCGATTTAAAAATACATGGATACTTTTTAAAATTTAATGAACATTTTTATCAAAATATGAGCACTTTTTAAATATATTTTACTTTCACTTTTTAGTTAGATATACAAAACTAAAGTAAATATGTTAAAAACAGTACAAAATTAAATAAAATAAATATCTGAAAAATGAAAAATTGAAACAATATTAAATGGAAGAAAAAAATAAAAGAAATAAAGGAAAATAAGAAAAAAATGCGCTTCACCCCGCAGTGGGTCGACCCAACTGCATGAGTTTAGTGCAAGTTTGTTAGCTACCGCAAACCAATCTATGGTTGGATGGTTAGAGGGACTGTGGTATCCCAGCCCACCAGGGTTCAAATCTTGGTGCTCGCATTTATTTCTGAATTTATTTCAGGATTTCCGGCGATGCACATTCAGTCGGAGGAGACGTTCCCGTCGACGACGAGGTGCCCACGGTGACTTCGTAAAATTCAAGATGATATGCCGGCTCAGTCTTTCGGAGGTGCTCACAGGGGTAGGCTGTGCGTGTGTGCGTTTATAGGGGGGGAGTGTATGCGCGTATATATGAGCGCTTGTGTCTGTACTGATGTCCAAAAAAAAGTTTGTTAGCTACCCATGCATTACATGACGATTTGGAATACTTTTGTTGTTGAAAAAGAGAGCTCTCTCTCCGATTTCCATTAATAGAAATCACAATGTCTTACAAACTACCATCAACTACTACATATACACTGCCAACACACAACCATTGATAGATCAAACGACGTGCTCCCTTGATGATGCAATACTGGGCATCTCCACACCCCATCAGGATCGCAGACCAGGGGGAAAGCTACATGCTGCCTACACCCTAGCAAAACACAAGATCTAACACATAGTCTGAATCACACACCCCCTCGTGAGAAATTCCACGTGTCGGGCCTCCAGGCAAGAGGAGTATTATTTTAGCATCGCACAAAACGCAAACCAAGTTTTACCAAGTGCATATTTATCTAGGAAAGCAGAAAAAACATTTGGAATAAGCTTATAGTGGGCACCTATAAGATTTGCTCGATAATATTAATTGTTTGATTTTTTAGAATCATTTGTTTTTTTAGGGATTTGGGAATCATTTGCTTTTTTTTTTGAGAATCCGAATCATTTGCTTTTTTTTGAGAATCCCGAATCATTTGCTATAAAATGATGATATTGTTAACAAACATTTTTGGCCCAGGTACGTATGGCCTGGTACCTGGCGTCTTTAGCCCAAGAGTCAAAATCCTTGTAAGTACTGGTGCCTGGCCCGTTAATACGCCCCCGCCTGTCCCCCAGAAAACAGAATACGTATTACTGTACGTATTACGTCCTCCGTCCGGCTGCCGCTAGGGCTTCATCTCCCGTACGCAGCTCGATTTAATCACCTGGCGGCACGAAGCTTCTTTATTTACGACCACAGGAGGCCCCGTTCGATCAATCCTACAAAGTAGGAATAGATGACATCGTCGAGAGGCAATTACCGTGTGATGACGGCGGAGGAAGAGGAGGCGGCCGACCGGTGCGTGGGCTGGATCTTCGTCTATATCGCGGTCTACTCCCTCGGCATCTTCGCCTTCTTCGCTGTGATTTCCTACACACACGTGTTTACCGGCGCCACCAAGTTCGACAAGATCTTCTTTGGGATCCTGGGAGCGCCTTTTCTGCCCATTGGCCTTGGCTTCATCTGCCTGCTTCTACGGGAGGACAGGCCCTTCCGCAACAAGCATGCCACCGCTCGAGTCGCCGACCTGCCGCCCGCCGATGTGTGCTAGCCATCTTTGGTTGTTTCTAGTGTGTGAATTAATGTTTGGAGTATTACTTTGTTTTATTTGATCCAGTGTAGTTCTCTTTCTGCTTGCTAGTTGTAACATCTTTTTCCCTAGCCGGTGGAAAACTTGTACGTACTAGATTGTCAAAGGCACGCATTGCTGCGCCCCTCGATTTTGACACTAATATTAGTGATTGATGCAATTATACGTAAATCTAGAATTTTAATCACGTGGTATAATATACTTGACGGCAATATTCAATCATGAGATATAACTAGAAAACATGCGCGTGCATTGCGGGAGAGTATCGTGTGATACGAGAGCATAGGTGCTCCCATGATACGGACTTCTGGGCCCTCGGATCTCAGATCCGACGGCATACGAGGAGCTGCTGTAGCTACTGTACTTGCACACATTTTTCAGATTCTACGAGGGCTTTTTTTGCAAAAATGTTCATCATTTCACGGGAGCTCTTGGATCTGAGATCCAACGGCCAAGCTCGCACGGGAGCACCAGATATTTTTCCCGTGCGTTGTAACGGGAGCAAACATGTTATGAACGCCCTATCAAGATGCAATGATGTCGGAAGACTTTTTTGACTTGAAATGTTGCCACGACAACTTCTCTGTTGCAAATCTTCCGTCCTTATATCCCAGGTTGCGCAAGGACGATGCTACTTGCAACAACAATGCCAGGACTAAGTCCACGACGAAGCTCTCAGCACCAAAGGCAAAAGTCACAGCAACATTTATTGCAGCTTCCGTGCAAATCAACTATAGATGTCCTACAATATTCATAATCATATTATAATGGTTATCACTCCGTTTTATAATTGTTTGGTGCTAATCAATATAATATGTGATTTATTTTTTGTGATGAATAAAATATAAGTTTTTAGTACAACATTTCAGAACTGGGTATCTAAGGAAGCAATTCATTACCAACACCTTTATTACAAGCATACACGAAAGCGTGTAGGTTGGTCGTAAAAGGAGGACAATTTGACTAAAAAAGAGATGCTATTTAGATGATCTGTCGAGTCATAGACAAGTACAAAATTGGGACTATGTCGACATTTGGTTATCAATTGCAGCAATCCCACTTCACATTTAATAAAATTACAGCCACAAAAGTGCACCAGTGCAAAGATGAAAAAAATGCATGAATTGCAATAGTGCCTCGAGGAATGGTCTTGTGGTTGGTGACTTACCCTGCAACCAGCGGACGCAGCTCCTCTGACGTACGGCGCACTCGCTGACGTGTGGACCCGGACACACGCGTCAGTGGCCCAACGTCAGGTGGCCGTACGTCAGGGGATCCGGCTCCGCAACCAGCACTCTTGATATGCCTGCTCAAAATTCCTGCCCATTTGCAGTCTTACACAGAATGACCATGTGACAATATTTACATTCTACCTCCACAAGGTTTCCATTACCATCTCTTATGATTACGAAAATGGTCACATGCATGCCTTGGAGCGTTGCCTCTTGCCACGACTGCTACTTGTTAGCGGTATATCAACATCAATCATCGATGTCGAAATGGTTGTACACAATCATATAAATATTGACATGGTCCTTGGGATGGTGGAACTCCCTTGCTTCTTTACATTTTGAAACCAGAACATGCCAAAAGTTGCATGTTCAGTAAGGCTCCCAGCGCTCACAAGCCCAAGCAAGTTTTTCTTGCACGGGAAACAAATTAGGATATCGAGAGTTTACTGAAAAAGGGTTTCCCCCGCTTTGTATTCCAAAGCAACCAACATCGAGTACAGATAACGCTGTGGCGAGCAGCACAACACACCAAGAAAAAGAAAAAGAAACAAATGCCAACCACGGCAGCTCGGCAAAGCACGGATGACCCGCCACCGCGGCGCCCACCGGACACAAAACACCAAAGACCAAGGCTCCGATCCGCCGCGTACCAAGCAGCACCTCCAAGAAGGGATGCGACGCCGACGACGCTGCTGCCCGGACGAGCCCTCAGGTTTCCCCGGGCACGCGGAGGGAGGTGGGGGGTGGATACCACCGACACCCTCCAGGGAAGAATGGTGGCACCCGCAGGTGTCACCGCGTCGGGGCCGAAGCCGGCAGGGATTTCTCCCGCATTCCAACCCCAACCGCCCAACCGGACGGAACCGACCTGCCAAACCGACGCCCACCACCATGCGCCAACGCAGTACCGCCACCACCCACGCCGCCTCACTATGAGCACCACCACGAGGCCAAGAGGACCGGAGAGAAGCTCACCACGACGGGAGCAGCAACACCAACGTCGAGCGGGAGGGAACCACCTCCACCGCCGTCGTGCGGGAGGCCCGTGCCTCCGGCACCGTCGCGGTAGCCGTCCGGACGCGACAGAGGGGCATGCCGGGCCACCCCTGGCCCAGCCAGGCCCGAAGCGGGCCCGTTAAGCCCCGCCGGCCGCGATGCAGCAGGCCGGCGTCGTCATCGCCGGCACCCAGCCGCTCGTCGCATCTCCTCCGCCTCCCAGAAGCCACGCCGAAGACCATCCCCGCCGCTGGCCCGCCCAGGCCCAGATGGGGCCCGAAGGGCCCAGATCTGGGCTGAGCGGGCGACGCCAGATCCTGCCGCCGCGCCGCCCCGCCGCCAACGGCAGCACCACCACCCAG